CTCGATTACCAATCTTGGGTTAAAAATCGACTCTGCACTTACCTTTGATAGCCACGTGAATGGGGTGGTGAAATCGTCATTCTATCATCTCAGGCATCTGTTGAAGGTTAAACCTTTTCTTTCAAGGCGTGACTTGGAGACTGTTATCCACGCTTTTATAGCCTCACGCTTGGATTATTGCAACTCCCTTTTAATAGGGGTTGGACTGGGCACTCTGACACGCCTGCAACTAGTACAGAATGCTGCGGCACGGTTTTTATCTGGTAGAAGGAAATTTGAGCACATTACTCCGGTTCTGGCCTCCCTGCACTGGCTTCCAATTGAATTTAGGATTCATTTTAAAGTTCTTTTATTGGTTTTTAAATCTTTAAATGGTCTGGCACCTATGTCCCCACTCGTTCGCTCCGGTCAGCTGAGCAGCTGTTGCTCTCAGTCCCCAAATCACGGCTGAAACTGAGAGGAGACCGAGCGTTCTCTATCGTGGCTCCTAAGCTTTGGAATAATCTTCCTCTTCACATTAGGCAATCGACATCAGTGCTGGTTTTTAAATCCAGATTGAAAACGCATTTTTATTCACTGGCTTTTGACTCGGTGGTTAACTGACTTGTATTTACCTATATTTTATTGTTTTCACTATGTTTATTATTTTATCATATTTATTATTCTTATGGTATCTATTATGTTTCTATTGTTCAGCACTTTGGTCAGCCTTGTGTGTTTTTAAAGTGCTATATAAATAAACTATGATGATGATGATGATATAGACTTTCAACTCTCTCTTTTTTAACTTTAGAATTTTTGGTCGCTTCCTGAAAAAAATTGGGATGTTTTGACAAGTGATAGCAGTAGGGTAAATATGAACACAAAGCCTGTTTACTCCAGGTGTATAATTTGAGTTATGACTTTTCAGAATCAGAATACTTTAAAAATCTGGAAGGAAATGATGTGGTTACCGTTGCTCCTGCCACAGTACTGGGTCTGTGGATCGCAGGGTTTGTGTTTTGTGGTTTTTGAATGTTCTTTGATTTATTGTTGTTCACGTGTTTGTATTTCTTGTTTCTATGATTTAGGTTTTGTTTCTTTGCTCATGTTTGACTTTATGCCTTGCTCTACAGTTTCTGGGATGATTAGAACTTAAATTGCGCTGTTGGAAATAATTTATTTTGATACTGTTTTTTTGCAAATTGTGCAGAATAATATTATTTTCGTTTTTCCTGCAGTTTATAAAGATTAGTTAATGTCAAAAATGAAACTATGGAGACAGTCAAAATAAATTTCCCGTGGTTAGAAATTATTTTATGCAACTGTTTTTTGTACATTTACAGTTTTGAGGGGCATATCTGAAATTTCTCCAAAAGTTGATTCTGTTCATCTGGACGTAGCGTTTTCTGGGAGAAACGTTTCATCACTCATCCAAGTGACTTTTTGTCTCAGCTGACTGCAAGTTTCCCCAATCTTATAAACAGTACATTTGCATAATGACTGAAACCAGCCCACGCTACGTCCAGATGAACAGAATCAACTTTTGGAGATTTATTTTCCTGGATGATTGAGAATGCATCAAGACATATCTGAAATTTCTGTGACTACAAATATGTGTAAAAAAATTAAAATTATTTTCTTCTCTTTTTTTTTTTTAGTTTGTTGCACTTTTTTGCACGTTATAGTAACTATGGGCTTAATATATACATATTATTAAACTTTAGGATATATCGTTTGTATTGATGTATAGCAACTTAAAATGCTCCAAAAATGGCACTACAGCATGTAAAGATATAAAGATAAGCTATGGCGAACTTGGCTCTATGGTGGGCTTTAAAGGATTAACCCTCTATTAAGTAATGCACTATGAATCTGAAAACAAAGCTTTTTTAATAAAAACAATGTGTCCCTAACCCAGAGACACATGGCCTGAGGGGTTATGTTTGCAGGTTGTTTTCTTATTTTCATGAACATAATGTCTCTGAAACACTTTTTTTTTTCAGACTTTCACTCTTATTGACTTATAACAAATTTCACATTAGGTTGGCACTTTTGGATTGACTGGACGCTTTACTACCTAACTAAAGCTAATCTGGAGCGATTGAACTCTTCTGGTGCGTGTAAAGATGTTTGGAACTTGTAGCCTCTTTGGAGCATATTACCTGCTGTCCTTGCAACAACTTTGCATTCTATCCAAATTGGCTGTTTTGCCAACCATACCTAACAAACATACCCGTGAAGGCCCACTGTGGGAAGGTATGGGTGAGCTATGGGACTGTGTGGGCAGGGCAAACCCACATTTATTCTATGCGGTCCCCACTGTGTGTCACACAGAGTCCACAGCAGTATTTGATTTCAAATACCTTTTTATTGACGTCCTCCAAACAAATTAAATGAATCTGTATGCTTGGATTTCTACAACAATGTCACTGCTGTTGCAAACAACACCCAGAAAATCGTTTTATAGGCTTTTCAAAACCCAGCCTTTATTTTGTGCAACTGAATAATTAAAGGCAGATTTTAGACTTGATTTAATTGTTATTATCAGAAGTACTACATCCAGCTGCATGCCTATATTGAGACTTCCTATCTGAAATCCATAATACTCCCATGGGATGCACTCCTAAGGAAAACAGTAATCACCAGTTCCGGTATCACCTAGACTATCCAATAAAAACAAAGGACTAAAAAAGCAAAGCTCATCATTGGATGCTGCTGAGTGACGTCAGTGCAGTGTAGGCTTTAGGACCCAGCAGCAAGGGGGCTTCCTTGTATATGCCGTTGTGATGATCTGCAGGCAGACGTGCGGGGAGGAACGCGCATCTCCGGTGCTGAAGCAGAAGGCTGGAAGAAGGGCAGGACAGCATCACCCGGTAAGACACTCAACAGTTGTTCTGTGTGAGCATTGATTTAGCTTCTGATGTCACTGATGGAACCGTTAACTCTCCCTGTTATATACAGTATATGTGTTATATAGAAATTCAACTTCGTTCAGAGACGATTGGAGCAGAAAAGTCTCTGTCACAGTGACACATCTTCATGGGACTCGTGATAGCTCAATTTTCATGCATGTTTCCTCACGCGATTCTGACTGCGTGTCGTGATAGTGTTTTGACAAAGGTGTGCGTCAGTATTCAGGGATAATAGCTTATAGGCTTTTCACGATGCAACCCCCCCTGTTGGGATGTGAGTGGCGTTGGTATACACACAGCAAGGATTTGTTGCTTTAGTCTTGAAACTTTTATCTTAAAATGTTGAAATCAAAATTGTATTGGAATCGAAATATTGTTAATGTCAAATTGTCGAATTCATACCTAAATTAATTTATTAAAAAAAACAAAGACACATGCAAAACAAAAAGACTGAATTAAAAATAAATCAATAAGCCAATGACATCATCAAAGCTATAAAAGCCCTTTTAAGTTATTTTGTATACATTTTCTCAACCTTACTGTTTCAAATATTTTGTATACATTTCCTGACTTTAGACTTCTGGTTTACATTATTTTATTTAAAAAATGTGAGAAATGTTGAATATTTTTTGTTAAATTTTCTTCTAAAAGGCACAAAGATGAATGATCATCCACTGGACAAAGGCATATTTCTAACATAAAATAAAGTATAATCCCTTTACTTTCTTTTTCGGTCTTTACACAAAGTGTATATAAAAGATAAAAAATAAACATAAGGCTTAAAAGGCTTCTTTCTCATGGAAAGCAAAGGGATACTTTGTGCTTTCAAAAAGAAAGTAATTTATGGTCTCAGTCACTAGTTTTAAGTATTACTGAAAACAACATCTTCTCTTTAAAATGTGGTAAAAAAAAAAAAAAATTACTAATACTAATAGTACTAAAACAGTAATCTTAAGGTAAGTCTGACAATTCAAAATCAAAAACAGCACCACTGAAAGTTAAGAGCTGCTAAAATAACAATGAAGAAAATCCAATAAAATTCTCAGTGTGGCTTTTTTCCTGGGTGTTGCAATAAGCATCCACACAGAAGAGGGTTTATAAGATTTAGCTGAGTTAGAAGTTAGCAGGAAGTTAGCTACCTAGTTTAAATCTAAATATAATATTCCACCTGCTAACTCACTAAAAACAGACAAAAATACAGCTTAGCTGTTAATTTGCACAGGAACAGACGGAAAACCACACAGCAGCGATGTGGGGAGGGTTCGTGTGCTAAAATAATGTGCTAATATAAACACACTAGCAGAGGGACGCTGTAGAATAAATTATTCTAAGTCTGCTGGAAAGAGTAAAGAGTGATTCAAATGTTGGGTACCTGGGACACCATGAGACCATGGGGTGCAGTGTACACAGTGAGCTGTTAAAAACGGAGCTTATAGATGTGCCGTGCATGAGTAATACTTATAAAAAGGTTGAAAGGTCTAAAACAAACACAGATTCTTTTTGAAGTGTATTTCTATTAACTAAAGAAGACATAAACAAGTTAAGACACTTTGAACCAGGCACAGGGTCGATACACCATCACCTAAAATCAGATTACAGTGGCTATGTCTGTCTTTTATATACAGTCTCTGGGTTTGTGTGAACTCTTGAGAGAAATATGTAACTCGTTAGCAGAAAAATGCTTCAAAATGCTGGATGTTGTGTTCATAGTGAAGCAAGTGTTTTTAGAGCGTTTTGCTGAAAACAGCTGTCTGAAAATAAAGTGATGGTTTGAGTGAAACAGTTATTAACCTCAGTAAAAAAAATACTCTCTGTTGAGCACAACACAGGAAAGGGGACAATTGTGGGTTAATCAGTGTGAGTACACATCGTAAATTGATCCACTGTTACCATGGAGATATTGATTAGTGCAGTTTTAAAGTCCCAGCACAAAACAGTCATTCCTTCATGATATTATACCATAACTGTACTTTGTTCTTCCTATAAATAACAATAAACTATAGAGGGCCAACCTATAAAGTTACAGAATATACAATATTACATATATTTTTAATTTTTTACCTTTCTTGGCTACAGAAAAAGAAAACAGCATTTTTTAAAAGCTAAAAATGAAAAAAATCTTACTGAAGTAGTTTTAAAAAATACACTTAAAATATTTTTGTAAAAGAAAAATTCAGATTTTTTTTATTCAATAATGTATTTAAGTTTGGGGCAATTACCATTAAGGCCTTAAAACTACACTCCCTAATTTTGTGAATGCATGCAGCAGAAAACTTAAAATGCACCATTTCAGTGTTTTGGCTCATCCGTCTGCGACGACAGAGTGCACTTAAGTTATTTGTGGATAAGCAGTGCAGCATAAATCAAGTCGATTTTAGCAAAGATGTAACTTTATCTGTTTTTCAAGGACACTCTGAACATGTTGGAAAGCAGATCACAGTCCAAACAATAGTCCTAAGATATGTTCCTTATTGTGACTGTGTAATAATGTAGGATATTGCCCTGGGGACTGAGCATTGCACAGGCTCTGGTGGCCTGCGGGGTTTTTTAAATTTGTTTAGGTTGGTCACGTCACAATCCTGACAGCACGAGGCTTGAAATGCTCGTGTTTCGTAGAGACAGAGGATTGCTGATTGTTTAACCAGCAGCCTGCATTTCAATCCTTCTCTTTCTTCAGGCGATCGTAAATTAACTGATGGAGCCACTGGCTGTTTCCTCACTGTCCCACCAGCAGCTGAGCATCTAAGCAGCTAAGCCCACCCCTCCTCCACGCCAAAATAAAAACAGATATATTATTTTGGATTTACATACAATACATGAAACTATTGGGGTGTAAGTGGTGGTGCTGATGTATGGTTGTGAGGTAAAAGCCAATGATCGCTCCAGAGGACCAGTGAGCCTGTAAATCTCTGAGCTAGTCCATTACAAAGCATTATAGGATGACTCTGCTGTCTTATAAATAACAACTGGTTGAAGCAGATGAGGCTGAACAAGCATTAACAGTTGTATTAAAATAAGATAAGACTCTTTATATTTGAACAAGTTTTAACACTTACCAGTGGTTTATTTACCTAGTTAGTTAATAGTAAATACAGTGATGAGTTATTTTGATTTCTTTAATCTCTACTTTAGCAATTTTACTTGGAAAGAAACGATAATATTTCAGGATTAAACTGTTTTCTTGGTCTTTTACTTTACACACAGAAAATCTGTTTGCTGGTCACTTAAATAATCCACAAAGCTTTTGGACACATAAAAAATGAATTACATGAGTCATCGATTGTTATGACGTCTGTCTAAAGTCTGCGACCACCATCTTATCTTTCCACTCGTGTAAGTGGGAGAGGGGAAAACATAAACATGGGATCCATTGCATTGAGGTGAGGTGTCAGACTCGGTCAACCAGCAACAAAACTCCTCGGTGTCTTTGGTTTGGGATAATTGTTGGAACCAAACTAACGACGTTTCCACACATGCACTGCAGTGGCAATGGGACGTTTTCTGTTTGTTATCATCTTGGAACATCTGATTAAATTATGATACATCTGTCACCTCGATGTATTTAAACTACCGAGGCCACATTTTTTAGAATGTGTGGCTAACAAGATGTGCAATACATTAAAAAATGAATATAAAGTGTGCACTCTTTGTTTCATTTGACAGTTTTGAGTCTTTGTGGGTGTTCACGGATCATGTCTACTAAAAATCTTTCTTCTCTGCCAATCAGCATAACTTGAGTCTAGAGCTGTTGGTGCACATGATGTATCACAGTGAAAACTTGTGAACTGAGAGCTAGCCATGCTTAGAGTACCATGCACCTCTCTGATTCCTCATAATTACAGAGAACAGATGTTGTTGCAGTTATTAGAACATGGGCACTTCATGCAGGACTGAATTAGACACAAACTAAATCCCCGTCTTGCTGTTGCTTTTATTTCTTTTTTCCAGCTTCTCCGTTTGCCTTCTTTAAGATACAGCCCTAAAGAACTATGGGAGGTGTTGCATTGGATGTGGGTGATTCCAGGGTGAAGGCTCCAGACGGAGGCTGGGGCTGGGCAGTGCTGGCTGGCTGTTTTGTCATCACAGGCTTCTCCTACGCTTTCCCAAAAGCGATCAGCGTATTTTTCAAAGAGCTGATCAGGGAGTTTGGTGTTGGATACAGCGACACTGCATGGATCTCCTCCATACTGCTGGCCATGCTCTATGGCACAGGTAGGCTGTTACACGTTGTATTCAGTATATAACTCTTTGTACTTATGCAGTTCTTTAATTTAAAAAAATACTGCAATAGAAGCTTTTTGAAACTCCCTTTTGCCCCATTTCATCCTAAACATTTGTTAGAAATATGTTATTTTCAAGTTAAGCACTGAACACTGGAGACAGGCACAGAACAAAACTCCACAGTCTGCAGCCCTGGATCAAACATAACAGGAATCCCGGAAGCGTGAGCAGGACAGGAAGAGGGAAACACACACCATGCTCAGATGTCATGTTTTCAGCTAGTAGCTCTTTGCGAATCGACTTATTGGTGCAAAAGATAAGATAAGATAAGATAAAACTTTATTAATCCCTCGGGTGGGTTCCTCTGGGAAATTTAGTTTCCAAAAAAGCACAGCACCGACAGAAGTTA